AAAAGCAAAGGTTTGTATATAAATGAACCTAACAGCAATAAAAAATCCGACTTCAGTAGTTACAAAAAGACTTTAACACCTATGGATACAAACAATGCTCAAAGATACACTCAACGATGGAGAATAAACACCAGTTTCCTTCGTTATTTTATATATGTACTCGTAAGATACAAATGACAAACTTCTCTAGTACTCTTGGGGATTACTTTAGAGTAAGTAAATTCATTGAAGCAAAAACAGCAGTCTTGATACATAATTTAACGATCGACAATATGAAATATACTCAGAGGAAAAATATCACTGTCTTTTTTGAATACCGCTGATATTACATGCTCCGGCAGAGACTGCCAGTATTTCACTACTCAAAACTCCAGACGTAGATGATTTGATCTCGGTTTCCTCTCAAACAATCAATCCTAGACAGAAGGAAAAGATAACATAGATAAATACCAAGGTCATCGTTCAATATACCGCAAGCCAATATTAGATCACCCTGCATTCTGCGGTAAGATGAAGGAAATAAGTTGATGTGTCTCACTCTGTCCTCGTAACATAGGCCAGATAGACATTTTAGCATTTTTGTCTCTCGCCGTTGGACTAGTTCCAACACATCCGCCCCATACTTGAGACGAGGACTTCCTGCTTGAACATCTTATTCCAGATGCGGTCTCACGAAAGTTGAGGATAATAATCTAAACATTTATTCATACAAATACTGAAGAGACCTATGAATAGTCCATAATACCCTACAGCCTTTCGCAGTAGCAGCTTGAGTGTTACTAGAGGTTTTGAGATCACTGTTTATTATGACTCCTAAATCTTTGTAATTTCTTACTTTGGATAACACGAATCCACATATTTCGTAGTGATATGAATCATCATAGTTAGTTAATTGCATCACCACACTCTTATCAGGAATTACTTCTGGTGACCATCCATCCATCCATGCCACCAGTGTGTTGAGATCATCCTGTAATACTATTCTATCTGACATAATGTGTATGATTCTACAAATCTCTATGTCATCGGCGAAGAGCTCCATTCACTTTTACCCTCTATCTCCTGTCATGTAGAAGGTCATTTATCCAGTCTATGACCCTATAATGAATTCCAAAACATTGCAGTTTTAATTTAACATCAGAATGAGAGATATTATAATGAGCTATACTTAGACCTATGAAAAAAGGCACAAATACAGGAATGTTTCGGTCTTTTGCCGCAGCCTAATCTTCTCCTGCAATGAGAAGATTTGTCAAACTTGATAGGCCTTTCCGAAAACCATGTTTTTCCCTGAATAAAATATTATGCTACTCCATATAGTCTATAACAGCCATTCAAAGAATCGTTTTCATCAGCTTTACAGTTGCACTGGTTGTTGTCGCGTCTTTCAAATCTGTTGGCAGTCTGAACTGCTGCACAAACCTATAAAGCTGTATTGCTAAAGGTTCGGCAATTACATCAAACAGGGCTTTCATAATCCTAGGATGAATATCTTTAGGACCGTTGGACGTATCAGGTTTAAGATGTTGAAGTACTCTTAAGACAGTACCTTTCTCAATAAATACAAGACCCATTAACAAGCTGCCCCATTATCAGTCAATCGCTGATCGTTCCTCATTGCTAATAGAAAACGCTTTGCTGAAATATTCCGATAATGCTTTCGCTTTCTTGGCATTAACTCTTGCCGATATTAATGGATTTTCTTGTACCAAAAAAGATGCCATTCCAACACTTCTCTGAGTTCTCTTTTTTATATACGAGAATAACCGTTTTGGACTATTTTTACAATTCTTAGTCCATTGTTTTTCATACGACTCTCTAGTTATACTTACTGATGCTTTAAAATTGCTGGTCTTACAATAACAGGATCTGTACTGTTTTAAGATGACACCGAGTATAAATATATGACATCCGATAATCAGCTTATGGCTAATGACTTCAGAAATTCCATTATCATTAGATCCACAAGTAGAGGAGCGGATGTTTATATTATTTACCATGTATAAGAGGACACCACCTATTTTCCTGCATCTATGTCGATCAATTCTTTAGTAGTGATATCCGGATAATTCTGAAGTAATGTCGAAATCACGGGTTAACCGAGTTTCCGTCACAGCTACAACGAGTGGCCTTAATTTGTCCACTAATTCTCCTAGTTCATTGGATTTATTTTCTAGACTACGAGCATTGACATATAAAACATCTAGGAAGAGCGACCTACCCGAACAGGTCTTGGTAGCATTCACTTCCAATACCACCACATACTACAACGACACATTCTTCTCTGTCAGTACTCGTGCTACCAGCGCAACCACCACATTTCAGCAGCTGGACAAAGCTTCTCCGTTCCTTTCATCGACCTGTTCTGCATAAGATATACAGAGTTTTGTAACACATCTACAGGGAGTTTTTTCAGCCTAGTCACTAAATAAGCCATTACAACATGTCCAGGCTTTTGATGACTTTCCTTTGTACTTTACCATCTACGACCTGAGTAATTGTATTGCGAACAATCATGCGAATCTCGTAGAAAGGGTCCTACAACGTCGCTTTTTTAAATACGTCAAGTCGACAGAGTATACGTTAAGTAGGATACATATATATATTATGGAATCGACTACGGGTGCATTATTTTGTAGTTTGAACTAAGTGCCCCGAAAATCTGCAAATCAATGATAATTGTATGTGAGCATTACAGTTAGACATGTACTACATTTTTAATAAATTCAGGATAGGAATTGTCGGTGAACTTGCACTGCGTTCTCCTCCCAGTGTTTAATATCTGAGAATAATCTACCAATTTTCCGTTCATTTAATGGAGTATTTTATGTAGCAGCATAACATTTGTTTAGGGATCCATTTAGAACACCAACTTTTATGTTATTTGTTTTTTTATCTGACAAATTCTGATGTAGTGTTATTGTAGATCACCAACGTAGATGATCTATGTCGAAATGATTGGACGCCTACTTGAGTTAGACGTGAATGGTCAGCACCTTACGTGGACTAGCCCATTGACGTATCAAGGTACCACAGATGCTTTGAAGACTGTACAACACAGAGGACGTTATTACAGAAATATATTAATTAAAGTAGATACAAGCGAGAGCGAGATCACTGCCGCACGCGTCAGTCCATGGCATACGATTAAACTGATGCGCGTTAGTTGTCCCTGACCTTGACGAGGATTAATGATTTGTTCGATATTCAATGATCCAACTGCCGGATGATTTGACTAGGGTTCATTGATATTTCACTGGCCCTACATTATAATCACAGAAGGCACACGTGAATAACTTTAGATTATTGAAGTGAAATTTCGAGTAAAAATCACACTCTTGTATGCAATATTCATCTACTAAGTGAACGGAAAAATACTAGAAAATGCTAGATATCATAATCTTATTGAACACTGAAAAAGAAAGTTGATACTCAGGTTTCAACCCAAGTAACCGAGGATTCCAGAAGAAAGTCAGACAGGCAAGATAATCTCCTGTGATAACAGTCGCACCATCTACAAAGTCATTGGCTCACGTCAACGAATCTTCGAATGAGTTTTAATTATGATGTAGTGACTCACATTTATCACGAGAACACGACTGGTTTAATAAAAACAATTATTATTATAACCAACTGTACCACTGTTTGTTTTAATGTGCTTTTGTTTGTCTGTGCTAATAACAGCTATGTTGTGCTTCCATTCTTATTCACACACTTCGATTGTAACTTCGCGCGAATTCGGTTACGTTCTGTAACCAAGCTTGTATCCTGGCACGATCTCGGTATCGTTTCGATGCCACGAGATCGCCAGCAAATAGACCTCGACTTGGAGTCATTTGGAACGAGCTTCTTGGTAGCGGTGTTCATAGTCAATCTCCTCTCGACACCACGCTACAATGACACAACACTACACTTTGGCTGAACTTATACCTAGGACGTTCTAAAAGTTCTTACTGACCTCTGATCGTCCATTAATAACGTGTTTTTGTTATATTTACAACATATTGTTGCTTTCTTCCACACGTTTTTAGATGAGTTTTATAAATGAATGCAAAATGACTCGGTTCTACTTTCATTCTGGTTAATCTACTATGTTTGCTACTAAATTGCTCCAGTTGACTCCAATAATGACGAAGATGATGAGTGAACCATGAAATATAATTCTCAGTTTCATTCCACACATCATACTTAGTCTAACCCTATTGTGTAACAGTGGTAAGAAAAGCTAGATATGAACTATATTGGGAGAATTTTACTTTAGACATTCATGTGTAAGTAGTCAGACAATAAAAATTAATAGACAAACGCAGTGTTATCTAACAAGTCAAATGTTAGCAATTTTTTGCATAAAAAAACACATTAAACAAAGGCAACCATAAAGGTGATTAATTAGCTTATATACAAATGGATACATACGTACATATCTAGGTTTAAAAGTGAATATTTGACAATGACCAGTATGGATATCATGTACATATTCACGTTGGCATTATAAGGAGTCTATATAGGCCAATACGACTTTGCTGCACCATATATTTACCCTGCTAAAACCTTTGGCCGATAACGCGTGAAGTGCCCTACTACAGATAGGGTCTACATCAAGGCTTTATACAGAATAATTTAACTTGATACGTAATGGTTAAAATTAATAATTCAAACGTAATAACCGATAGTATTTGGATGCAAGCAAATAGTCACTGGAGTTTTACTAAATTAAGGAGAGTTTTAAAGTTATCCATCTTAACAATCAGAGAAAAAAAGGATTTTTCATCTGTAAATACTCAAAAAGTAGACTAGGACTGTGGTACCGTTATTTCCGTCACCAGTTAACGATTCTGCAACTTATGTCGGAAACCTACTTTCTTTAATGAAATCAACAATACGTTATCACTTGACAAATCGATTTAACAAACACTGAGTGCAAATAAAATGCGATGGAGTATTTATCAACAAAATGAATAAAAATGATAATATTTTCGTTTATTTATCTCTTTTTATTTGAAATTAACTAATATCTGTGCATGTGTGACAACATTAAAGATAAAATATAACTACTTTGTTTAGTTTGTGAGTGTTTACATGACAATCGTTTCGATTATTATGTACAAATATCTTTTTGGTTGATCAGTGGACAATATGATTTTACATTCTTTCTTAATCCTAAAGAAAAAAGCAATTAAAAGTTCATTTTTAAAAATTAACTTTACTACATCAGAAATTTACCGTCGATATAATATACAGTGATACCTGAGTTGTTATTATTATTATTTAAAAAATGCAAAATACATTTATGGATGTGACAGCTGACAATAAATAGTTAGTAATCTTAAAAGTGATCTAAGTAGTAGGATAAGTTAACCATATTTCAAAAAAGACAGTCAGTACATCTTTATTTTCTATTCTCCATAATTTTCGTATTTTAGGTTTGACCAATTGATAGATTAAGGCTGCTCACTTGTGAAGTGTCTTCAACTAGGGAAAACAAGCATCGAGTATCCTTGAATTTAAATGAATTTTTAGACTCAGCCACTAAAATTTTTTTTTGGATGGACATCTACTAATAATTAGACTAAAAATCTTTTGTAACATCATGTATAATTCACAGAAAGTCATCTTGAAGGCCATAAAGATTAGTTTTTATTGATCAAATTAAATTTGAATAGTCAAAGTAACTAAATCTTTATCCGGGTTGAGAAAATAACTTGTAAACTTGAAATTTTAATAGTTCACATTGTGGGAATAGCTGAAATGGACTTATCTAATAATTAATTTTCGCCATTATTTACATTTTTTCGAGATTGATTCTCATAATTCGTACAATTATCATTATTGACTGTGAATTTTTTCGATGGTTAAGATCATGAGTCAGTTGAAGCTAGACCATCATGGAAAACCTGCAAGCACTGGACGACCGTCTCATCTTATTGTGGGACTCCTCAGCAGTGCGCATCCACAACCTCGCCCCCTGCGAGATTCGAACCCAGAACCTGCTGGTTCCGAGCGCGAACACTTAACCACTAGACCACTTAGCCGGCATCCCACGGTGTTAATATCCAACTTCAACTAATACACGAAGTTGAGCGACATATCCACCATTGTCTTCAGTGAGTTACTATCTCATGACAGATTTAGTTGAACTCCACTGGTCACTACTTCTCACTAGAACTCCAGGATATACCTCGTGAAGCCAGTCACTAGTGAGCATATGTTGATTAATATCAGATGGGTTTCAACTGACTCATGATCTTACCATTGAAATTACTATTCCCCCTCTACATGAAAGTTGTTGCTCCAGGACTGACCTGCGTCAACACCTGAACTAAGGATAGGGAGTGAAGTAGTCGAACTCGTCGACAACTTCACTTATCGTGGAAGTCAGATCAGTCCTAAAAGGTTGGTGTATGACGTAGTCGTTGCACAGATTCAGAAAGCTCGCTTGGCTTTTGCCGACTTACGTCACCTATGGCGAAGGCGAGATATCCGTCCATTAATTAATGGACGAGCATATTGTGAGGCAGTTCGTTCTGTTCTACGTTACGGCTGCGAAACGTGGTTATTAGGAATATAAGATACTAGTAAGTTTCTAGTGTTTGATCTTATGTGTTTTAGAAATACTGCTCGCATCTACTGGATCACCAGGTAAGTAATAATGAGGTTAGACGCATGGTATCAGGGATTAATGCTAAATCAGTTGATGAGCTTGTAAATCTACATAGACTGAGATGGTTTGGCTACGTGTTACGTATGCCTGAACACCGATTACCAAGACTCACAATGCTGATTAGTGTCGGAAATGGTTGGAGGAAAGTTAGGGCCGGCCAAACCAAAAAGTGAGATCAGTGCTTGAAGACACTAACTTCTGATCTGAGCCTTGTTGGTAGATGCAGACTATTTGGTTGGGGTGCGCGCAGCTATCGTTAGCAGTGGTAAGTGACTCTGAATGACAGCCCAGAATCTGTCACAATGACGTAGGTGTATACACTCTTTGTCTTCCCTTAAACCGTGAGATTAAAATTGCTTTATACTCTTATTTCTGTGAACTAATTCTTTCTTCCTGTACTATATCGTTATGCACAATCTTTCTTTTATATATTACTACCATTGAAGTAATTACTTCTATGAATTTGGTGTTCATCTTATTGTGCTAATGAGGTGTGGCAACTTGAACTGATGCATATATGTGCCTGGTCCTATGTTACAGGTGTTTGACTGACGGTTTCCAGCAGCTATTCATTCTACTCACTTCGGCTTCCGATTCTCGACTTACTGCGTTTTTTGATCTTCCGCGTTTCTCTTTCTGTTCAAGATTCCAAGTTAAGGATTGTGTCATAATGGAGCTTGATGATTTTCACGACGTACGTTTTACCCACCTCCAGCATTATTGCTTAATTTCCTCTTGAGCTGGAAGTTTGTTTCTTCTCTCCCACAGTAGGCTATTGCTGATTTTGTCCGGTGGACGGACATCGAGTATGTTGCATAGATAATTGTTTATGAATACTTGTACATTTTTGTTGATGGTTGTGGTAGTTCTCCGCGTTTCAGCTCCGTACAGTATGACTGTCTTCACATTCGTGATGAAGATTCTGACTGACGTTGTTTGACAGCTGTTTTGAGCTCCATATGTTCTACAGCTGCAGGAATTCTGGCCTTACTTTGCCAATGCTTGCCTTTACGTTTGCATCCTATGCTTCTTATTCATCTATTATGCTGTTAAGATACGTGAAACTATCCACCGCTTCCAGACTTTCTCCACAAAGCGCAACTGGCTTGGTGTTCTCAGTGCTCTACTTGGGAATCGTGTTTTGCTCTAGTGTATGTTGAGAGCCACGATTGAAAAGGGTTAACCGCCTGTTTTCACCTCTATTTACTGATGTGCCTCTTCACAAGGAGTGACTAGCGTAAGTAATGGGATAGAAAAGCTAGAATACTGTGAAGTCATCTAGCTGCATGCAAGCTGTTCGTTGTATTTCTTGCTTTCCCTGATATGTGAGGGTCTCTATAATCCAATCAACCACCAGAAGCAAGAGGAAGTGGGAGAGTAAGAAGTCTTGTCTGACACCGATTTTAACTTGGAATGCATCTTTCAGCTGTCCTCCATGCACGAATTTGCAGTGTAGTTCGTCGAATGAACTTCTTTCTTGAAACGTCCAGGATTTCAATGGAGATACATTCCTTATGATGATGCTTCCCGCGGTCCAGCTCCTTCCAGTACGTTGAAGTTAGTTCTTTGTTCCCTTTCCAGTTGTTCCCAAAAGTAGTTTCTTTTTCTTTGAGTAGATCTTTCAAGGCTTGGAACCTGTTGTTGAGAGCCATCTTCAATTGGTTGAGTTTGTCAGTATCTTGAAATAAGTCCGTGTCAAACCTTTGTAAAGGTGTTCGTTCATTTTTTCAATGCTTCTTTAGTTTCAGTTTTATCTTGGAAAACACCAGATGGTGGTGGTTTGAAGTTCTGTCATCTTCTCTCTTGGTTCTCACTTCGTTCATTGATCTTCTGATTCTTTTAGCAATACAAATATAATCTAACTGATTTTCTGTATTATAATCTGGTGAGACCTATATAGCTGTTTCCACCCATAACCATTATGTTGAGGTCATACAGAGTTGCAAATCTATCACCATTCTCGTTCCTTTCTTCCAGTCGCTTCATGTCATCTCATGAAACATTCATACCCGATGTTGTCTATTCTGACTTTGTCGTTTAGGTCTCCATCAGGATGGTTGGGCCCTTTCCTGGACACTTCTCTACGACCGGTTGCAGCCTCTTACAAATCTGATCTTTATCATCTTTGCTTCCATCATTGTTGGATGCATAGCACTGGACAATATTCATTGCTTTTTTCTCCTTCTTTGCTCCAAAGAATGCTTTGATGGTCCTGGGTCTATGTGGTTCATATCTTATAAGTACCCTTCGTGCTCCACTGGACATCATCAAGTCAAATCCTTGTGTATGCAAAGTATTTTCTTCTTCATGACCATAGTATAACAACATCTCTTTCGAATCTAATCTTTTCTGTCCAGCTTGTGTTTGATGAGTTTCGCTTATTCTGAGGTCCGCCAAGTTGTACCTGCTCATTTTCACAGGTATTTGACTGTTCCTTTAAATCCTTCACATTTGCTTGCACATTCCATGTACCTATATTAATTGTTTCACTGATTGTTAGAAGGGACATTGGCCGTATTTTGGCATTAACTTTTTAAATAGGCGTAACAGTGACATTTAAGACATCGTGTTTTGTACAGAGTTACTACTATATTGACTGATCACTAACCAAACTTAATAGAATACACAAATTACCTGAACATTTGATCTACATTCCTAAACACAATGAATATTTCGAGTCTTGAAAAAAATATTTTAAATTTGATTTTTATTGAACTTACACTAAATACTTCATTTCTAGAAGTATAATCCACATTGCGATCGAAATTTGGATTGGTCAACCAAGCTTTTAGTCTATGTAAAGAAACACCATGTGACAAGACTACTTCATAAAGAATTACAGCAATTAAGGAACCACATAATGGACCAACAAGATATACCTATTTCAGAATGATATACAAAGAAGAAAATGAAGTGAAATTAATAAATGCTCTAGTATTGATTGTATTATAATTCATCGTGAGTAAAAACTCTCTCTTAAACTTACAGATCATAACAGTAGCAAACATTCATGTGAAAAGACCCCATAATCACTATGGTTATTTATATGAATCAATTAACATTTTTTTGGTAAGTTCGGGGATAACATATACATTTAATTCAGAGTTAATTAGTACCCTTTTCTTATTAAACTTAGCTACCTTATCAACTAAAATCATATTTCAGTAAATATATGATTTTTCATAATCTAGTTTTTTTAAGCAATCATTACCTTTAATTCTCTATAATAAATAATTATGAATTTTCAGATTTCATTATTATGTAATAATTATCCCACTTCATCTATATTACTTATATTTAGCTTATTGGTTAAATTACACATTAATCAATATATGTTACTTAGAGATATACATTTTCATCAATAACGTTATAAGTTAGCAATCATTAAACGAAACATTCGATATATTTCACATAAATGTATAAAACAATCCAATCACAAATCATATACTGTCCATATTTATAATGTAAAGTTAAATGTACAAATTTATATTTGTTAAATTATGTGGATATAAATTGTTAAAAACCATAAGTTTCTACGATGTTTTATATATTCCTATTGTAAAAGCGCAAAAATTCTTAACATCTTACCCACAAGTCAGTGAAGTCGTTTGCAACGACAGCTGTACCCAAACATCGTGCAGGATTTAAACCAGCTCCAGAATATCTAGCCTAAACAAAAATCATTAACTGTCACTAAATTGATGAGAAACAAATAATTTATAATGACAACATAAGTTATTTCCAATCTACTGAAATCGGAGTTAGGCAAATATTACAACCAATTAACAGTTTCCATCACTTTTAATATATAAAATATACTGTTTATTAGAATTATAATAAATATCAAGTTGTTCGTAAATCAGTAAGAATATGTCTGTTAATGAGTTTTATCGATCCTTGTCACTGACTTGACAAATATAAACTTGGAAAAATCTCTTTTCTGAAGTAGAAAGTTCAGTGTGATGACTTTCAGTTTAATGATCGTGAAATCTACTGATGACAAGTTATATAGTTTGATATTCATACCAGTTATGATGTTTTAGCACTAATGGACTATGTTACGGCTTGTTGGTATATATTTAAGTTAAAACAACACAGTCTGGAAACTATTTAGAAAACTTATGAAAATCTGGTAAAAATCTGATAGAATTTTAGAATTTAAAAGATCGACTTCAGAGTGAGATACTAAGTGTATACTTCCTTAACTTTCATATCATTGATAAGAACAATAAAAGTTTTACTACTAAAACCCATGAAAACACAACTGACAGAAACAAATTCTTAACTTATTTTTAATCAAATTACTGACATGCATAACTTATTGGTAAGTCTAATGCTTATCAATGCAATAATCACTATTAACAATATTATTTTAACGATGAGCTAACTGAGAACACCTTTCTTTTAATGTTTTCTAATAAGACATCTTTTTGATTATTGTACTGCCTAGTGTTAACTCTAGATATGAGTTTGTTAATTTTGATATGAATTTTGACATAATGGAATTCAACAAAGAGGTCTCTTTTCAACAAACTCATGTCTATTTCCTTTTTGTGTTTACACAATGGGTAGTAATCAATTTTCCAACTGAACTTTACAAACCTAAATCTAAACACAGAAGTAAACTTAACTAACACGAATTCATTTTTCAGTATGATAATAACAAAATGGTTGAAGGCTCTTTAATAGGTTCACATTTTTAACCTTTCATTTGTTTATCAATGAATAGAATAAATTTTTTAAGGCTTCATAAAGTACGAAAGGAATTTTCACGATGAAAAATGATTGAAAACACAATTAAAACTAGAAGTATAAATTAAGTAATATCACAAATTAAATGAATTTGAAGTTTCGCATCACTGGCTGACTTTGTTTACACAACCTTTAAAAAACAAGAGGCACTGAACAGATTTTATGTCCTAATATGGGACATTTTAGTAATATACATCTGTGACCACAACAAGGACATAACTCAAAACCTTTATTCCTTGTAATGAGCCCTCAACCTTTAAATAAGTTGAAGTCCATTGATTTTAATACCTAAATTATGTGAAATCACAATATTATATGACTTCTATCCATTATCGAAAATGACATTTCTCTCACATGCGACATGAATGAACTTGACTGGTCACAGCTTCTCACTCGAACTCAGGATACTGCCTTTCAAATTTAGTCAGTAGTAAGCGACTTTTAATGTTCATTTTAGCAAGGTTCTTTTTTCCTAAATAACCAACCCTGTGACCAAGCCTCCTCCTTTTTCCAAGCTTCAGACTGGCAATAACCTTAAAAGAGACCAATCTGGAGTTAACTGGTAAGCACATTATGGTTGTTATTATGAGGTTTTGAGATTGGTAAATTAAAAGTTTTAATCATAGATTGACCACTGAAAAATCAGGATCAACGGATAACTTTTTCTTCAAACTCAGCAATCCCTACAACAATCTGTTATTTAAATTAAATGAAGCTAAAATATGGATTTCTGTATTTTTGATCAAGTATTCATCACATAAACTGAAGTTTGTGAGTTCGACCCAGTTTAAAGTAGAATACGCACAATGTTAAGAAGTATTTAATCAAATGGACTTTAATTGATTTTTCAAAAGACAACTAGTCATAATGAAAACTAACTCCTTATTATGTACTATCTGACCGATAATTCATACTAATTTTTTTATTCGTATCCTTTTCTCATGGCTTAATATCTCATAAAATTAATTTGAAGTCAGTCAATTGGCCTTTTATTCGTCTGCTTTAAATCCATTCACTTAGAATAATGAGTTTAAATATATCATTATTAATCGCCAAATCACTCAAATATATGTTAACCTTCAACTAATTCAGTTCTTCTGTTAAGAAAAAAATAGTTCATTCGCTTGCTGGATGGAATAAAGAATGAACATCAGTTGCTACTTATCTCATTAATGGCAAACTTCAGTAATTACACAATAATGCAACTACTTAGAGATTATTGCCAGAACAAGTTCTTCACATAATCATTCGACAAAATTGAGTAGTTTTTCAACTATAAACTTAATATTGTATGTTGTAATAACTGTCACATAGGTCTTATGTACTGACAATGTAGAGTGCAAGACATTTGTCCTTAAAGAAGTTCTCTTATTAGTTAAAATTACATTCAATTTTATGTCAAGTTCAGTGTTCCAATGAAATAACGTATCAACACCGTAATGTTATATTACTTGGGTAAGATTTATATATTTATTAAATCGTGACAAAAATATTATGGCTCAATAGATTACAGATACTACTTGGACGTTGAAAATGCACATGACAACTATAACTAATTTAAAAGTATCATAATTTAAGTAGTTATGATATAATAATTAAATTTCAATCAACATACCGACATTTTTTTAATTAAAAGTGACTTCCTTTTACTAATGTACAATTTATATAAGTTTGATGATCGAGTAGTTACATTTAAAAAGAATGAAGATATTCCAGCGAAGATAATTTTCATGTCGAAGATATCGATTACTAAAGCTGTAGAATCGTACATACATTTACTTGAGGATTTGAACATTAATGTGTAGATTATATTACTGATGAGTAGTTACAAGGTTTGTACAATAAAATTTTCAATACAAATATCAAGACATTTCTACTGTATGGGGCGGAAACCTGGAGAACTACGAAATCCATCATCCAGAAGATACAAGTGTTTATTAACAGCTGTCTTCGTAAAATACTTCGGATCCGTTGGCCGGACACTATTAGCAACAACCTACTGTGGGAAAGAACAAACCAGATCCCAGTGAAAGAAAAAATCAGGAAGAAGAGCTGGAAGTGGATAGTAAACAGATTGAGGAAAGCACACAACTGTGGCACAAGGCAAGCCCTCACTCGAAATCCTGAAGGTCAAAGTAGGAGAGGAAGACCAAAGAATACACTACACCGGGAAATGGAGAAAGACAAGGATTTGATGGAACTAGAAAAGGTCCAGTACAGAGTGGGTTTGAGAATGCTGGTCTGCGGCCTATGCTCCATTAGAAGTAACAGACGTAAGTAAGTAAGCAAGTAACAATAAAATTGGTTACTGTTTTGTATTAACAATTTTCTATAGACGATTCTGTTCCGATTCAGTTAATTTTTTGGTTTGTATAGTTTAAAAAAAAGAACTTTTACACATGAAGTAAAACATTTCAATCCCGATAATGTAATAAGAAGACGAAGATTATCAGAAAACATGTCACTTTTAGTCTACAAGATGACATCTAGTTTAATAAGCATATAAACGTATCTGTTTACTAGACTATTTTTTGATTTTTATATGAAAACAATATTTAAGTGATATATGATTTCAAAAATACTATTAGTATGTCAGGCTACAATTGAATACAATTATTATGAATAATTTATAAATAATATGAATTATTAAATAGCTTACTAATATTCCAACTAATAGGGCATGAACAACTCCCATTTGAAATGGTAAACTAGTAAATAATCCAGCTGTCCATATATTTGGACGAAATTCATCAGTTGTAGCTAGAATAGCTAATACAATTGCAAATCCACCAAAAAGTTCAAATCCAACAGCGTTACCTTGTGATATTAATGGATTTTTCATAACTAAACCAATTTTATTTAATTGTGTTAAATCATTAGGCAATAAACTTCTAGCTATAAATGCGCCTAAAATTGCACCAACTAATTGTGATATTATAAATAGGATAGTATGTATTATTGTTATTTTTCTTGTAATAAAGAATGCAATAGTTACTATTGGATTAATTTGTGCTCCACTTATCGGTCCAAATATCCATACAATCCAAGAAAATGTAAAAAATACAATAATACAATCAGATACTGGATTAATAGTTGGTGGAAAACTATATAATACAGCAACAAAACATAATGTCCCAGTACCAATTAATTCAGATATAAATAAACGCAATAAGTAATAAAAATCTGTTATAGAACATTTTGGCAATCTATCCATTGATGGTTTAATAGATATTGGTGAATTGTTTACACAATTTGAAGGATTATTATCAGTTGTCATTTCGTATCTTTCAATATGACAATTACAAAGTATATGTTGATGAAATGTTCTCTAAAATGTATAAATAAGAGATATATATATATACCCAATGAATTTTATAAATTTCGACTTTGTACTAAAAATTATTATGAATATACGAATTTTCATAAACTCAGATCAAATAGTTTGATTTATGAAAAATTTTATCACTAAACTTTATAATCAGAAAGGGTTTTGAGGATATTAAAGTAATTTAATTATTTAATTCATGAGTTGATTGAAGTTAGACCACCATGAAAAACCTGGAAGCACTGGATGATTGTTTCGTCCTAGTATGGGACTCCTCATCAGTTACTTCCACAAGAGATATTTCCTGGATTTCTAGTGAGAAGACGTGACCTATGGAGTTCAACCGAGTCTGTTATGTGATATAAAATCACTGATGACAGTGGTAGACGGTGGCGCAATTCCGTGGAATAGTTGTGGTTAGATATTAACACCGCTGGATGCCTTCCCAGCGGTCTAGAGAGTAGGCGTTCGCTGCAGAGACCAGTAGATCCTGGGTCCGAATCTTGAGGAGCGAGACCATGGATGCTTACTGCTGAGAAGCCCAATTCTGGGATGAAACAGCTGTCTAGCGCTTCCAGGTTTTCCATGATGGTCTAGCTTTATTCGACTCATGAATTCAACAATTAAATTACTAAGCTTTATGGTTTACTATTGTAAGCTCTCTTCACAGACATAAATAGTGTCGGAAACAAAATGAATTTTATTTTTTCTTAGATATCATAAACAATTAATGGATCATTAATAATATGATAGAAGATAGGTTATATGAAAACTCACATTTAACGCCCCAAATACTAGGTACGTATTTCTTAATCACATCCTAACAGCTACAACTATATTATTCTTAAAGCTCAGACAGATAATATAAAACAGAAATTGTGGACGACAGTTTACTTCTAAAACTAAGTTAGTTGCAAAGCACAGTAGGTATTAATTAGAATATTGACGACCTTGAGTTTCTGAAAGCCTCTTAAAATGATGCAAAAATCAGTAATAAATTCAGTATTTGTCGAATGATAATAAAGAAAACAAAACTAGTATCTTTCCAGATTTGTTATGAAAGGTTACAAGTACTACTGACTAGTCGAAATAGTTTCAGCATTTGTAAAACTTTTAGAAAGTTTTCAAAAGTAATCTCAAGGATTCTTTCTAGAAACGTACAATTCTTTAATGTTAGGAGTATTTAATTGATAGTTAAGCACATATATGTAAATCACTAAGTAGTATGTTTAAATTTCTACTCAATCTAGTTTTATCTTTGAGTTGTAGATTTATCTCAGCTTTTCATTAATAAACAACGTTGCTCAAATTCCAGTATACGTAACTTTACTTGATAGATGAATTGCATAACTTCACTGATAAAGTGCAAAATAGTTATGCAAACTTCACATATCATTTATGAGAACAAGTTATGTAAGCTAACAATATTGTTCTCATCAAAACATCAGACCAGTCACAGTAATTTTTTAGTCGAAAATTTAGACCACATAACTAATAGACAACAACGGTAAGAGTATGCTACCAAGTGTCGTATTAGTAGTAATGATATGAATAATACAGACAAGATAAAGTTGTGTCTTGCAATAGAATCACGAACTTGACTTTCATCATATTTGGGACTCGCCGACTAAACATGTCTACATCCCAAAGTTTACGTTCACATTGGGACTCAAACCCAGTAACTTTGTTATTAAACACCTAATGCATTATCCAATGAGCTACTGAGTACAGTTAACCACTCACTTGGACCACGGGTATAATATTTATATCATCATTAATGGGGATTCAAACTATCACTCTTTTGATATTCTTGGTTAAAATGCCCTTCGTAAATTTTACTGCTAACCAAAGTGTACATTATTTTCAGGAAAGTCACACTAAAAATACCTTGAAAATGAAATTAATATTAATATCAGATGGGTTTTGTGGATAATATAGTAATTTCAACGGTTAAGACCATACTTTAGTTGAAGCTAAATCACCATGGAAAACCTGGGACGGCTTGGACGGCCGTTTCTCCCTGTTGTGGGACTCCTCAACAGTGCGCATCCACAACCCCGCCCCCTGCGAGACTCGAACCCAGAACCTACTGGTTCCGAGCGCGAACACTTAACCACTAGACCACTGAGACGGCATTCCACAGTGTTAATGTCTAACTTCAACTAATCCACGAAATTGAGCGACATATCCACCATTGTCTTCAGTGAGTTACTATCTCACGACAGATTTAGTTGAACTTTACTGGTCACTACTTCTCACTAGAACTCCAGCATACACCTCGTGAAGCCAGTCACTAGTGAGCGTATGTTGATTAATATCCATGGTGGTCTAGCTTCAACTAACTCATGATCTTAACCGTTGAAAATGAATATTATTTGAGCCGTTTTCAGTTGTTTTTTTCAATGATTACCTTTAAGAGTTAATAATTGGATTTTTTTACGATTAATGATAAGAATAATTTGAAAGCATTTTGGAAGCACTATGTTATTATCAAGAATAAATAAATGTTTGAAACGCTGAATTTCAGTGATCGGATAATCATTTTTAATCATAAACCTACTAAGTTCAAATCACAAAGAAATTGAAACAATGATCATTTAAAGAATTCCAAGTAAAAATAAAACATCCAAAGTTAGATATTCCTGAGTAAACATGCAAGATACCATAAAATAATAAATGACCAGTATCAATTTTAAAAATACCGGTTAAGAATATGCATTATTTTTCAAAAATCAGTTACTTATTCGAAGGTAAGTTATTTATGTAAACCCATAAACAATGGTACAAGGAGGTACCAAATTGATATACGCCACAGAAATTATTCGAATAATGTGAGGGCTGGGATACTGCCTGGGTGTCTAATCCGCAAGACAATGGGACAACTTCACAAGATGCAGTCCCATGATAGTCGGTGACCAACTATAGGTTCGTACATCGTTTGTTCCCTCAGGATACCGGAGCCCATGTGCATCATCGGTTTGTAATCAGGGTTTTCCAACCCCACTAGGTGAACTTTCCTTGTACACCAACCCGGTTAAAGCACCGGACATTCGCTTTTTTGTCCTCTCAATTTTGCAAACAACACTTGTACCACGAGAATGCAGTGAGTAGTACTTCCCTGGCAGTGGTCGTATACGCATAGCCATGTGAGAACATTTCGAGAGGAAGAGCTAACTCTTCCTACTCTCGGCCATATAAGAGCATTTAGGGATAGAATGTAAGTTAAAGTTAGAAATCTAACTAATAATTTAAACATAAATTAATAAACAGTGAAGAAAAATTAACTTAATATATCTACTACATACCTTCATGAAAAATTGATTTTGATGAATAAAAGAAAACTCAACTTACTAATAACTGATAAGAATTATATAATTAAAATAATAGAATGTTATTACTATCGTTAATGTATAGAGTTAAATACATTTAATGGTGTTTATAGGTTTGTTTATTTTAAATTAACTCGTTAATGAATCAAATCAAATAGATTGACTGTATTTGACTATATATGGGTGGAGATTAAATATTGAAAGTAGTATTTAACCTACAGTAAACTTATAGTAAAAGATGATTAGCTATTGGTTAAAGTGGAAATTAACATACAAATGTTTAATATCATGAGTAAGAAATAGAAATTCATAAACCAATTGAACATATGAATATTAGCCACTATGTTTATAGATCTTCTCTGTAATGATGAATATGACTAGCCAATTATGACATTTATGTTTTGAAACATCATATAGCAGTTCCTTTGAAAATCATCATGTACATACTTTGGTTCTTGTGATGATAATTAAATATTATTATTTGATAAACTATATCATAATATCATTCTTTGATGTGTTCAAATGAAGTATGGCTTATTTGAGGACAGTGGAAGAACTATGATAAATGCCTGTGAGATACCCTCGATTAACCCAGATCTGTATATGTGGATACAGTTTGTACGATTACTTTCTTTACCATTTTAATATTGATTTCTTTCTTTCTTGTTTGATTTACTGTTCTCACTTTTTCACGTCCAAGTTACACGCAAATTTATCGTCTTTAATTCATTGAATCCAAACATACTTTAGCTAATTTCCTAATTCAGATGAAAAGATTATCAAGAGGCACTTCTGAGTATATCAGAACAAAATGAAAATACCTAACGGATTTGATAAGAATTCTTTAATTGTTTAAGAAAGATCTTATTAAAGTCTAGTGCATTTTCTGTAGCGAACATTGAATATGTAAAATATTTAGAAACGCCTTTCAAATCGATAATAATTGGAATAATCTACTGGATTTAACATAAATTATCTAGGTAATTTCTACCAAGATAAGTACCACTAGATATAATATGCTTCAATTTTCACTAGCAATACGGTTGAGGGAGGAATGAAGTTCTTAATTGAAACACTGATGAATTATGTTTATCTACTGAAGTTTATAAAATTATGAAAAGGCAGTTTCAGTTTCAGTTTGGGAAGGACAGGAGGCTCGATGGCCTATGTTAGTCCTGGCAATGGTGGTCTCTCAGTTGATCCAACCTTCTTTTGAAAGAGTCAACGGATGGAGCCTAGAACACGTGCTGAGGTAATGAGTTCCACTCGTTGAGGATTCGATGGGAAAGTCGATAGTCAGCTGACAAGTAATTTGTTCTCGGCTTATGAACTTTTTTGCAGTGTCCTCGTAAATTCTCTGTTTTGGAAGACAAGAAAAATGAGGACATATCAGGTGCAAATTTATCACTAAGCAATTTGAAAACTGTAATCAAGTCACCTCTAGTTCTGCGATATGACAACGGGAAAAGGTTCAGCTTGGCCAGTCGAGATTCATACGGAAGCTTCGCTATTCCGGGAATCAGCTTAGTCGCCGTTCTCTGAACCTTTTCCAGAAGCTCACTGTCTTTTTTTAAGCAGGGGCTAGCTGCTTATATGCAGTACTCAAGTTTAAGACGAACGAACACTGTATACAAAGTCAAAAACGTTTTGGCGTCGACATGACTAAAAGCTCTATG